AACGACATGCTCACGGTAAATAGATGAATCATGCCTGGCAACAGTGACTTTCTGTTCTTGTTAGTTAGGTTCTAGCAGTGGATGAGTTCATATGTTATTTTCATCTTCCGAGAGGCAGTTTTAAGTCACTTAGATAGAAGAACTGAAATCCCATCTGCAGAGAAGCGCTTTCATAACATGGCTGAATAAACGGTCTCCAAGCGGTCGTCAATTTTTGTTGTGGGATGTGCGGACTCTGTGTAGTTTGGTTAACGCGTGCTGTAATCCCAGTCTGGCCCTCCAAACTGAGGGCTGAGAGTTTAGGGCTGGGACAAGCAAGCTTTATTACCTGCCACCTGCGCCCTAGTACCTTTTCGGTACGGCCGACAGCTGTTGAGGGAGTTTACTTTTTCAAGCACACGGCGAAGGCCGGCAATAGGCAATAAACAGGCCCCAGTCGCCATTCTAGATTAGCAATCAGAAGCTGCAAACTCATTGACAAAGTCTCCGCAAAATCTTTGGTAGCCAGCCCATTCAGCTTTTGACTACATTTAGAATCAATCTTAGCACATATATCGACGTAACTCATGGGTATTTCGGGACTGCTTTTCTCGACACCATCAAAAAGCCCAGCGACCTTCAAAACTCCCTTCATAAGGGCAATGACATCTTGCATTTCGTACCCTCCCTCTTCTTCCCCCCAGTGCTTCATCTTCCATCTGCACTCTGGTTTACGGGCCGGTGGAGGTATCGGCGACGAGATAGAACCTCCTGACGGGGACGCCAAAGAAGCTTTGCGAATTGTCTTCGACATGACTTTCTTCTTTATTGTCATTATCATCCTGCTGGCAATCATCCAGGGTGGGTTGAAGAGTGCTGAATTAACAGTGTTGTCATCACCTGAGTTAGTATTTTTTGCCTGACTTTGACATGCCGCGTCCTTTTGTACACCCCAGGCTTCATTATCGACGCTTTCGGCGATTTGAGGGACCAGCTGGAGCAGGTTAAGGATGACTTGGAATCGAAGTGTTTCATCTGCGGAATCGGAAAGGAGTATTTTGACGCAACACCTCATGGTTTCGACAGACATGTAGAAAAGGAGCACAACTTTGCCAATTATATGTAGGCTCATTGCATTTCGTGCCTTTATTGTCATAATCGCTGTTTTCACCACGACAGTAATCAACCGTTGGGGCAAAATATGCTTCTTGTCTTTTGAATTCTTTCCGCCGCCTGTTTGCGTGTCTTCTTTACCGAACAATTCTTCATTTATGAGTCTTTGCAGAGATGAGGTCAATTACTAGACTTTTGC